GGATCATGGGACTTAGTAACTAACCCAAATAAGGTAACTATAATTATAATCCCAATTAGGGTACTTATAACCTTACTAAGTCCCATGATCCTGCAAGTAGGGAGGACTTCATCAGAGTTCGAGGGTCGGTTGCCCAGAGACTCCAATACCCCTTTATCAAGGAATATATCCTTAAATCTTATTAGGGATCCTACTATAATTTAAGGTATATTCCTTAATTAAGAGCTATTGGAGTCTCTGGGTTCGTGAAGGGTCGGTTTGTCCCAGGACCCGATGAACCTCTACTTCTCCATCAAGATGGCCACTAAGCTGAGAGCTGGGTTTAGGGATTAGGGTTTAGGGTTTAGGGTTTAGGGTTTAGGTCTGGGCTCTTCCCTGGTGTTCGTGGGCAATAGTGCACTTGAAAGCTTAAGTTTGATTAATGTAGGGGCCTTAGTGATTAGAATAGGGTTTTGGGGCCCGTTATACTATAGTTAATACAAGGAGCCCCTAAACTAACAGATGTAAAACCCTAAGCCCTAAACCCTAAACCCTAAAAACTAAACCCTAAACCCTAAACCCTTCTTTAGGCCGCTACATTAGAGAGCAAGGGCCGATGTCTTCTCCAGCCTGGAGATCTCCGAATCTCCGGGATGTCGCTGGCATTCCTTTCGGGTTTAGGGTTTAGGGTTTAGGCCCAAAACCCTAAACCCTAAACCCTAAACCCTAAACCCTAAACCCTAACCTTTAGGTTTAGGGTTTAGGGTTTAGGCCATCCTCGCCTCGCCACCTCTTCCCCCTCGCCCTCCTGCATCCTGTCACCCTAATGTGGGGGGCCGTAAGAATTACCTATACTTTTTTTTTTTTTTGGGGGTGGGGTGGGGGGGTTTAGGGTTTAGGGTCTAGGGTTTGGGGGCGGGGGGTCCTCATTGTAAGTATAATATCATGGGCCCCAAAACCCTATTCTAATTATTAAGGCCCCTATATTATCCCCTCTTATCCCTCTTGGTGCGCTTTCTTCCACCGACACGGCTGCCTAGGATACGGATGGTATTGTTCAGAATCAGGCCCCGGGATTGCATCAGCTAGGCTAGAGTTCTAGCTCTCTTTCAAGCTCTGCCAGTGAAGATCTCGTAAAATCGACCTTTGCATGAAGATTCCGTGATTCGGGGTCCTGATTCGGATCTCCATTGATTTGAAGGTCCGGGTCTCATAGGGGTAGTCCTCAAAATTGGGGTCCCTGTTTAGATCCCTACAATAGTATGGTAAACCCCAAAATCTTGGAAACCCGATTAAGGACGATCAGTGAATGGATTGCTTATACACTCTTAGAGATTGAGGAGATTGGGTTTCCAACTTTTGGGCTTCTACTGTGCGGCACCCTTATAAAAAGGACCCTTAAAAAGGGTCCCCATATTTAGAGAACTACCCATATAGACCCCTTAGAGTACCTTTTTGGAAACCCTCCTAGATCCCTTCAAGGAACCCTGAAAAGGGAACCCAAAAACCCTCGAACCTACTTGGAGGATCATGGGACTTAGTCAGTAAGGTTATAAGTACCCTAAATGGGGTTATAATTATAGTTACCTTATTTATAACCCTAGTTGCTACAACCCTAAACCCTAAACCCTTATAGAACCCTTACAGATCCCTCAGAGGAGCCTTTTGAGGGTTAGTTACTAAGTCCCATGATCCTCCAAGTATCTAAGGACTTTAGGAGGGACCTCTAATAGGGACCCTTAATCCCATGACCGTAAATAACCATTGTATAGTCCTTACATACCCCTTATATAGCCAGGTAGTCTCCATATTAACCCCAATAACCTACAAGGGTCCCTATTAAGGGTCCCTCCTAAAGCCCTTCGACTAAACCCTAAACCCTAAACCCCTAAACCCCTAAACCCTAAACCCAAACCCCCTTTAAGGACTCCCTCCTAAAGCCCTTAGAAAGTATGCCAGCGGCTCTCTGAGGTCCGGAACGAGATTCTGCAGGCACATCGCGCCCTCTTCGAGTACGGAAGTTGCTTGCAGACTCTCGGCGAAGACGGTTTAGGGTTTAGGGTTTAGGGTATTTAGGGTATTTAGGGTATTTAAGGTATTAGGGTATTTAGGGTTTAGGGTTTAGGGTTTAGGGTTTGGGGTTTAGGGTTTAGGGTTAGATGTCAAGTTGTCCATACTGTAGGGGCCTAAAGAGATTCCTATACTACTTTGGTGGGGGTTCCTTATTATTATTAGAGCATAATATATCCCAAAACCCTATTCTAATTATTACGGCCCCTTTATTACACAGAGACATGCTCCCTCTACCGCCCGCTCTCTCTCTCTCTCTCTCTGACTCTCGCTCTCTCTGGCAACTTCCCCGGTGCACAGGTCTTGGGACAAAGAGGGTTCTGCGGGGGAAGACGTCAAGTTTAAAGTTTTCGAGACTCATGAAGAGGCGCAAGAGCATGGTACAGTTGTGATACTTGGAGGATCATGGGACTTAGTAAGTAAGGTTATAAGTACCCTGATTGGGGTTATAATTATAGTTACCTTATTTTTAACCCTAGTTACTAAGCCCCATGATCCTCCAAGTAATGTTACACAATGTCTTATCTCCGTCCGTTTCTGTGCAGACCACGCCCCGACACCAACATCCAAAGCATAGACAAGCCAAGCACCGTACGTTCCACCCTAAACCCTAAACCCTAAACCCTAACCACCGACAGTCCACAAGGCCGAAACCTGTCAGTCCTCGTGCTGAGCATGAACTTAATCACCGAAGACTCCGACAATCTCCGACATGTTACCGCGATATGGGAGGTTCCGAAATTAGGGTACCTTATTCGGGGGTCCTTATAATAAGGATCCTACTATTTTGGGGGGGTACTCTATTAGGGTCCCTATTTTCGGAAACCCCCATATAAGCCTGAACTTAGGAGCCCGTTTCTTCCTACTTTTACACGGCGTCCCATCTCCTATTTTTTCGAGGACCGGCACGCGAACGCTTGCTGCCACGGTTCGCGGGAGGCCGCATATGTGTGGATGTTTGGGATCGTGTGACTTCGTGCTCCCCTATCTATCTATCTATCTATCTGTTTATCTGTATACCTATCTGTCTATCTATCTATCTATCTATCTATCTATCTAACTATCTACCTATCGACCTATCTATCTATTTATCTATCTATCTATATGTTTTCCTTCGGCTTCAACATTGAAATTGAAGTCCATAGCTTTGACAACCATCCGTGTGTCCAGACCCACGTCCTGTGATTCTCAAATCCTCAGCCATTGCTTCTTTGGGACTGGAGCCCCCCCAACCCCAAGTCCATGCATGGCTGACATGGCCCTTACCGGACTAAACTAATGAAGCCGTTAATAATAACAACCGTAGGAAGAATAGTAGCAATGACAAGAACCATAGTAAAAAAATAGCAAGAATAGGAGTAATACCTCTTGTCCAAGACTCCGCTTTTTTCAACACGAGACCGCCTCTCCCAAAGTTGCTGCCAGAGGCCCGTGGCTGGCAAAGTGCGAGGCTCGCGCTCCGCCAGCTTTCAGTGCCTTGAGTTTACAGGATTCAGGGTTTAGGGTTTAGGGGATTAGGGCCAGTTTAGGGTTTAGGGGGGTTCTTCTGGGGTTCATGGTCTGCGAAGCATGCCTCATAGAGAGAGGACGGCTTGGGTGCAGGATTTTCCATCACAGCTGGGACCCAGGGAAGAGGGATATAGGATGCCGAGAAAGGAACGGAAAGAAGATGCCCCTATCCTCGTTTGTTTCAGCCTACCGCCCGTCGTCCCCCAGCCGATCGTTTTGCATCAACCTTAACATCAGAAAATGCAGAGTGCAATTGATGACTCACATATCCAAGGGCTCCTATGTAGTTCCTTTTTGGACAGTATACTATAATTCCTTACCAAAAAACCATAGCGGACCCAAAAAGGAACTACATTGGAGCCCCTGGGTATCCCTGAAGCCACCCGCAGGCATTGCCGGCATACTCTTTCGAAGAGCCGTTCATATCCTGGGCACGGGGCAGCTGGGCTTATCTCAGTCACAGACACATCTCAACCGAAAGCTCCATCAGAGCCAGGGGCTTTCGGGTTTGGGTTTAGGGTTTTTGTGGTTTAAGGTTTCGTTCGCACGGTTTGCTTGGCTTGCACCATCCCATACAGGCATCATCAAGCTTCGAATGCTCAGCCGCATGCAATCTTGGTACCATGAACTTTCAAGCATACCCCGCCTGAGGCAAATCCAACGCCGAGTGCACAAAGCGGTCCTTCAGCTTGCCCGCGGCTGGGTGGCAAGGCTTTTTCCTGCATGGATACTGGAGCAAATCCCTAAATCACTGAACCCCTAAAACTATAATCCCACAATCCCATGATCCCAAATAGAACCCTATTAACCCAAAAAAAACCCCAAAAACAAAACATCCCTTAAAACAAAAAAAACCCTAAAAACCTTAAAAACTCAAAAAACCCTAAAAACAAAAAAACAAAAAACTTTAAAAACACCAAAAAACAAAAAAAACAAAAAAAACAAAAAGCCAAAGCAAAGCGCCGGTGCTCCACGCTGCGCCCCCCTTGGGGGGCCCCGGGGAGCCGCCCCGGCCGGAACTCTGAGGCTCCGCGTGGACGCACCGCTTCGAACTGATCCTGGCGAAATGCTCGGAGTGGATTTTAGGGTCTAGGGGTTTAGGGTTTAGGGGTTTAGGGGTTTAGGTTTAGGATTTTAGGGTTTAGGGTTTAGGGTTTAGGATTTTAGGGCTTAGGGTTTAGGGGTTTAGGGGTTAGGGGTTTCGGGTTTAAGGAGTGGATTTCAGGACCCCAAAAGGACATAAGCCATAAGCATCTTATAGGGATATCCCTACCCTAAACCCTAAACCCCTTAATTTAGGGTTTAGGGTTTAGGGGTTTAGGGTTTAGGGAGTGGATTTTAGGACCCCAACGGACATAAGCAGAAGCATTCTCATAGGGAAATATCCCTACCTTATTGGTTTAGGGCCCCAAAGGACATAAGCATAAGCATCTTATAGGGATATCCCTACCTTATTGGTTTAGGCCCCTAACAGGACATAAGCAGAAGCACTTTATAGGGACATCCCTACCTTATCGGGCATCAGTATAACGGAGTTTATTTGGGATGCTTGGAGGATCATGGGACTTAGTAACTAGGGTTATAAATAAGGTAACTCTAACTGTAACCATTGTAACCCCAATTAGGGTACTTATAACCCTACTTACTAAGTCCCATGATCGTCCAAGTATCCTAATGTTTGCTTATGTGCTTTTTGGGGGGCCCTAGTGGATTGCGAGCTTCAGAAGATAAGAGGGGTTTCAGGGCTAATAGAGTTTATAGGGTTTAGGGCTTATAGGGTTTATCAAGTTTCAGGATTTCAGGGTTTATGGGGTTTAGGGTTTATAGGGCTTATAGGGCTTATAGGGTTTTAGGGATTATAGGGCTTATAGGGTTGACGGGGTTTCAGAGGGTTTAGGCATTAGGGGTTTAGGGTTCAGGGTACCCCCACAGAAGTGACACAGCATGTGCTCCCTGGCTCTTGGCTACGAGCTTTGTGTCCCAAGCTTGGAAACAACCCAGCAGCCAGGTAGGCAAAAGCGTGCTAGCACGGCCTTCCTAGGAGCTTTCGCTTTCGCAGTGCCTCCCCAAGCGGTATCCTGCAATGGCTCTCCGCCTTTGGCCCTTGCTGCTGTCGGTGGCCTGCGGAGTGCGGCTTGGGCTGCGAAGCACACTGGGCCATTCCCAACCGAAAGCCTCAGCTTGTCTTGGGGTGCAGATTCCGGGTTTAGGGTCTATAGGGGTCTAGGGGTCTGGGGCCTAGGGTTTAGGGGTTTAAGTTTAGGGTTTAGGGTTTACGAGAAGCAAGGGAGTTTTAGTTCAAAGAGATGGGCACGCGACAGAGATGACTGACTGGGATTGTTTTCGTCTCATTTATCATATTCGTTACTATACGTTTCTTGTGCTCCTTGTGTCCACCCCCCAAATCCATGTAAATCCCTCCCTAAACCCTAAACCCTAAACTCCTAAACCCCTAAACCCCTAAACCCTGCACCCTAAACCCTAAACCCTAAACCCCTATCCATGCACAGCCCAGGGATGTTCCCAGTGTGCAGCTCAACAACGGCGTCTCCATGCCAGTCCTGGCCTTCGCTGCCGAGGCCCTGTGGACATTTAGGGTTTAGGGTTTAGGGGTTTAGGGGTTTAGGGTTTAGGGCTTAGGGTTCAGGCATTTTGGACCAAAGTCTGCAACCCTTCAATCGAGATCGCCGAAGCCCAGCCCCAATCAAGCAGTTCACCAATCAAGTGGACAAACCGAGACAGATTCAGAGAGCCCAATACCCCTTAATTAAGGAATATACCTCAAATCATAATATTAAGGCCCCTATAGTTTAAGGTCTATTCCTTATTTAAGGGATCCCTTGGGCTCTCTGGGGATTCATCATGCTGCTTACACAGGTTATCGATCAGCCCAGTGCAGCTCTTCCCGTTGAGATTGCATTCTTCAGTTTCGGTCTTTCGTCAAAAGAATAGGTAGTATCATTAGGAGTACCCCTTAAAGGGCACCCCTTCTGAAACCTACTTTTGTTTTTTTTTTTAAGGGACCCTATTGAGAGGGTCTATATCCCCAAGGGTTCCCCTAATCCTAGCTCCCAAACAAAGGAAGTCTGCAAATCTTGGAAGTTCTGGTGCAGACGGATCTAGGGGGCTGACGGAGTTTATCGCTTGCGTTCTAACTCAAGGCCCAGAGAGACGTGCACTTCCCGGAGAGCCCAATACCCCTTAATCAAGGAATATACCTTGAGCCATAATGTGAAGGCCCCTCTAATTTAAGATACATTCCTTATTTGAGGGGTTATTGGGCTCTCTGGGTTCGTCAACACCTACAGCCTTGGTGCCTCGAAACACAAGCTATACATCCCAATCAAGCAATCCACCCTAGATTCCTGGTTGCTTGAAGACTAAGTTCGAGGCTCACAGCGCGGTCGCTCAGCAGTCTTTTCATGTATCTACGACAGAACAGCATGAATCGAAGTCCACACCTTAGGGTTTAGGGTTTAGGGTTTAGGTCCTCCATCTACCCTCTATCAGACCCCAAATACCCTTAATTTGGGACCATATACCCCTATGTGAGGGTACTTGGAGGGTCCTGGTCTGCCTCTACCCTAAACCCTAAACCCCTTTTTTGTCGCCAGGTCTGGGATGCAGGCACGTGTCTGAACGCCACTTCAGAGGCCTTGGCTGCCGGCTTTCGCTTCGCAGCTTCGCCGCAGATGCGCGTAAGCTGACCAAGGGTTTAGGGGTTTAGGGTTTAGGGGTTAGGGGTTTAGGGTTTATTCCCAGAGAGCCCAATACCCCTTAATTAAGAAATATACCTCAAATCATAATAAATATTAAGGCCCCTATGATTTAAGGTATATTCCTTTTTTAAGGGGTATTGGGCTCTCTGGGTTTAGGCGAACGCGTTTTTTTCTTTAAGTGTTGTTTATAAACCATAGGACCCCTCTGCAGTCACCCCTAGGTCGATCTATGTACCTACCTATCTATGCATGTCTGTAAAAAGTGGAAAGCAATTTGAACTTTTCTATGTATCTAAATCTATATCTACATATATAATACACACACACACACACGGAGAACGGTCTCCCGAGGGCTATGCAGCAGGATGTGCTGAGCATGGCCTATCGTGCAGGTGTTGAAAAGCTAGAGGGCGTACAGGGTTTGACGGTCAGACGCTTAGACGCTCTAAGCTGGGGTCGAGGATCGTGTTCAAAAGCCGCTCCCGAATGAAGGTTGAGGGCCTTGTTCGTAAAGCTGAACGGAGGCGTCCGAAGCTGACATTGGCCTCACAACAAGCTCAATACAAGCCGACAAGCAGTACTCGCCCAACAGCTGGCCGACCATGACATGCGACACATGACCCCAACCGAAACGACACCCGCCAACCCACAGCCTCCTCATGCCTTCAATCAAGATCTGGTCTTCCACGCTTGTCGGCGACGACTGTCAGAGACCTGGCTGCTCTGCGCGCTGTTTTGTACACGATCATCATCCTCACCACAACATGGACTGGCGTAACATTGCAAAGTTGCGTCATGTCAGTTACCACTTCGAACCTTTGCACACAAGCACAAATATCGAGAATGGACCATGGACCTTGTACAGGACCGCCGTACTTTCAAATCCGGTGTCCGAAGTGGAGAGACTGTCTAGCAGCTAGCAAACTTCATACACAAAGCCTAAAGCGCAGACTTGCAAGGAAGGCGCAGAGCCAGGCGGTACGGAATTCGGGTTTGCCGCGCGCGGAGCTCTTCATTGCCGGCACAGTGAACGACCCCAAGTGCCACTCAGCTGAAATGGGGGTTTCCGAAAATAGGGGACCCTTTTATAGTACCCTAAATTCGTACGATCTCTATGATAAGGACCCCATAATAAGGTACCACTACTTGTCGGAAACTCCCAAATATGCTTCCTGCGTCAACACTTCACTTTTTTGTTTATTTTCTGGACCTTTCGGGGATGGTCCGGGGCATCAGCGTGGGCTTCCCTGCTTCGTCTGCACCCATCAAGGCAATGTGGGTATAAGGTGCTAATAATTCGGATGCAGTATACCTAGACCCTCCATCTACCCTCTATTAGACCCTAAATACCCTTAATTGGGGACCATATACCCGTATTTGAGGGCACTTGGAGGGTCCTGGTAAGCCTAGAGTCTAGGCCTTGCCCTGACTTCCGGACTCCTGAAGACCGAGGCTCGGACTATGCGTCGTGCTACAAGGAAACCAGGGCGGGTGCCGAGAAGCAGTTCCAGCTGCTGGATGTGCCACAGCTGGGTTTAGGGTTTAGGGTTTAGGCCACAGCTGGGTTTAGGGTTTAGGGTTTAGGAAGCTGCGTAGTGTCGTCATGGTGTAAAGTCCCGCCGGCTGCAGGGCTCGAGCAAAAACATCATGGCTGAGCAGCCTCAGATCACAAGCGCTAAGACTCTCACCCTACTGGAAGTGTTTCCGTTCAACCCAGCACTTCGGCTGATGGACAAAATCCTGCATGAACTTATATACCTAAACTATGGGATTTATGGTACCATACTATATTTGGGTCATGCAGNNAGAATTTTGTCCATCAACAGTTGCATCATCGCAGCAAAGGAAAAGGTGCTGGACATGCTCATGCTGGATTACCCGGCCGAGAGCTGTCCAGGGATCAAGGGACAGTGGCAGGCCAGCACCGATTGGTGTCATGCAGGGGCCTGAAAAACTACCATTTACCATTGTGGGGGGGGGGGGGGGGG